TAAGAGAAAGTATACTTATATATACTTATACATATATATACTTATATAAGAGAGAATATACTTATATGTACTTATATACTAAGAGAGGGAGTATATATATATATATATATAAAAGAGGGTACACACTGTATACTTATATATACATATATATACTTATATACTAAGAGAGTATATTTATATATACTTATATAAGAGAGAGTATATTTATATATACTTATACACTAAGAGTGAGAGTATAAATATATATATAAGAGAGAGTATACTTATACATATATATAATTATATAAGAGATATATACATAAATAAGAGAGAGAGTATACTGATATATACTTATATAAGAGAGTATACACTATATACTTATATATATACTTATACATATATTATATATACATAAGAGAGAATATACTTATATACTAAGAGAGAGAGAGAGTATACTTATATATACTTATATAAGAGAGAGTATACACTGTATACTTATATATACTTATACATATATTAAGAGAGCATACTTATACATATATATATACTTATATAAGAGAGAGTATACTTATATATAATTATATACTAAGAGAGAGTATATATATATATATATATATATATATATATATATATATATATATATATATATATATATATATATATATATATATATATATATATATATATATATATATATATATATATATATATATATATATATTATATATATATATATATATATATATATATAGACACACACACACACACACATATACATATATTATATATATACCTATATTATACATATAAGAAAAAAAACACTGTTCCGGGTCGGGCCGGGCCCGGGCCGACGGGCTTTTTGGACACCCATCGTTATTCTACATCTAGCTGAAGCCTCAGAGGTACATCATGTTGGCTATGTTGTGGGAGAAAAGACAATTTTGCCTCTTATGAATAGTCCTATATGGACTAGTGTTATGAATAGTAATGGGTTTAAATTGCTTCTCCTCTTGTTGGGCTTTGAGGGTCCCTAAGAAGGGGGTGTTTTAGGCTTTGTATTGTTGGGCTTTGCATAACACTCACACGCGGGGGCACGCACACGCCTCGCCACGCCGTGACGTGGCGCGCACACAATTTTTTGCTTTGTCAAACTTTATTTTTACCACGTTTTACATGTTTTTTCCCTCGGCAATTAAAACGTGTGTGACGGCTGCGGAACGTTTTTAACGGGCGTGTTTTGGGGTAACGGATCCGTGATTTTGCATAACATGCAAATTCGTAATGGCTCTCTGAACCCTATATAGACAACCTCTTCCCAGTTTGGAAAATACGCAGAATCGAGAAAGAAAAACAAAAGCTCTTCTCCTTCTCTCTCTTCTCCCTTCAAAAAATTCTTCCTTTTTAAAATTCTCCCTCTTACATTATTCTTTCTATTGGGTAACTGTCTTCATCTGAGCAGAAGCTCTGTACTCTCGCTCGAGTTCAGAGGCCGGCCGATTCTAGGGTTTTTTACCACTAGAGGAGAAGGGATCATCTGCGTCAGGGCAATAGGAGGGTCCTTAATTTTTTAGGGTAGTGTTTACACGACTAGTCCTGGTCAGGCCAGACTTTCTTATTTCGAATTTTTGCATGCTATAACTTATAACCTTTATTTGATTTTATCTAACAATCAAGAAGATTAAGTAGTTTATAGTTGTTGTTTTAAATCTGAAAACTTTTTATTAATAATATTTTTAAAAAAATTAGTGCTCACCCAAAAAAATTATCATTACTGTTCATTCCGCAAATTTTACAGTTACTGTTCGTTAAAAAAACAATTTCTGAAATTGTTCATTACTTGAATTATAATTGTTAATTATTTCTATTAATTGTTTTAATTGTTAATTTGTTATAAATAGTATTCTGAATTATTTGTTTTATAGTTCCTAAATTAATCCCAGAAAAAAAGAAAAATAATAATTATTCTTACTAGTTACTGTATTAGAATTATATTGTTCTATTTATATTATCACTATTCATATTTGTTGATTAAAGTCATACTCCTAAGTAACTAGTCTAGTGGTATTGATAAAACTTTTATTCTATCAGATTCTAAAATACCTAGACTAGTTAACTTTAAATCGGACTTATGGCTAATCCTGATCATTCCAAAAGTGTCAAACCTGAAAAGTTCACTAGTGTTAACTATAAACGATGGGCTAATCAGATGAGATACTGGCTCACTACCCTAGGTCGCTTATATGTCGTTGACACTCCCGAGTCATCATCCACTGGATCTCCAGTTTATGGTCCTCAACCTGAACCTACTCCTTCCACTTCTGCTTCTGGTACTAGATCCTTCTCTAGTTCTATGGAGCCAGAAGAAATTAACTATCATTGTTGCCATAGGATTCTTATTGCACTTGCAGACAACATTTATGATATATACTATGAGTTCAAAAGTGCTAAAGACCTATGGAAATGCTCTTGAAGCAGAATATGGTTTTGATGATGCCGGAATTCTGCGTTTCACCTCCTCTTCCTTCAATAAGTTCATGATGGTTGATGACAAACCCATAAATGAAAAAATTCATAAATTTTAAGATTTCCTTCGTCACCTCCAATCAAAGGAAAACTCATTTACTGATGACTTTAAAGTTTCATGTCTGATTGATAAACTTCCTCCCTCTTGGTCTAGATTTGCTGAAGATCTCTGACACAAGCAAGGAGATCTAACTTTAACTGAACCCTCAAGGCTATTCGCATTGAAGACCAGCATAGGCAAAATTCTA